CAAAGCAGTCATTAAAGAATACCTCTGGTGTACATTATTACAATGATCAATCAATATCAAAGTACTGAGCAAAAAGAGAGGAAAGGAATTCACCAGGACAGCTAACTAAAATCTGGGAAAATAATGTTGATTAAGATGGATTTGAATGACTTCAACACTGAATCTGAGGCACTCTTTTTAACAAATTGTTTTCAGGCTTAATAACATGTATAGGCACTACACTGCACACCTCTCAGGAATATTATTGTGAGTACAGTCTGCTTTTTTTCCATGGCTTTTTCTCAGTGTGACTGATTAAATCATTATTTCCATTTTTGTTTGTGCTGACAAAGATGACAAAAAGATTATATTCCTGTAGAGGGAAAGGGTGAGACGAATCCAGCAGGACAAATTAGATTTATTGTGAATCACATTACCTACTTTGGAATACTTTAGTTTAGCAAAAACTGTTTTCATGGTTTTGGTTTGTGTTCAGTTGTTTCATCCCAAGCTTTCCGGCAGGTCCGAATGATCCATTTGTGCTCATCGTCATCTAAAAGAGAGAGAAAGCAATGGCAAATATCACCATGTCAGATCTGGTTTTTGCATCACTAGGGTTCAGCTCAAGCAAGCAGTTTTTCCTTTGAGCAATGCATCCACTTTTAGCCATTGTCATAATTTAGAACACAATTTTTGTTTGCTTCTTTCAAAGGTTGTGTGCTGTTAAGTTGGAATTTGACAAGATGGGAGATACTGGATCTATGGCAATGTCTGATTGATTGTCTGTTTGATAAGATTAGTTTGGCTGGCACTAGGAGATTTACAAGTATGTATTTTATTTGTTGACATTTGGCAGGAGATGCGCAGGAGATGTTGAAACGATCAGAAATGGAGGTTTTAATTTTAATTCTGTGTCTGTAGTGGTTGTCAGCTTATGAAAAGGGAAGGTAAAGAGAAATCTATAGGCAAAGCCTTGGTTCTTGTCTTCCCGCTTTTCTTTCAGTGCTGTTTCTGAAATGTACATCATGACAAATACAGATAAGCTGGTGTAGTGGCTGATAGATGTATTTTAGGCCATCCCATGTGTCCCTTGTTAGTATTCATGTCTGTCATATTTACTCTCAGAGCACAATGACAGTGTGGAAAGAAAAAAATAATCAAAGACAATGTAGGAAAACCCAACTGTCCAGTGAAGTTTGAATAGAAATTTTGTGTACTATGACAAAAAAAACCCCAAGCAACAATTTGGCAAATTTTAGGATGTGGCTTCTTAATTCCAGGGATTTAAACAGTCTTGTCTCCAAAAAATGGTTCTGCAGCCTTTTCTTTCATGTTTGTGTAGGGGAAAAGAGATCTGTGCAGTAGAGCAGGAAAAACAAACTTCAAAAAGCTTTGGGAAAAATCAAAGTATTACTTAAAACAATACCTGTATTTATTTTTATATAAATGAAATATATTAGAGCTGCTTCTTGTGTTTACCACCATCTTAAATTCATATTAGCTGCTTGTGACGTGTGTTTCTAACCTGCCTTCATCTAAATTTTAAGGGGTTTGTAGCAGCCCTTAGCACCTGAAAGAACAGACAGAGTCGAGGGGGCTGCGATCCCAGTACCGTGACCATTGCTTGGCACAGCAAATAATCCCATTTATTTACACAGCTGAGCGCCCTGTGTAAGTAGGTCACAATAGCTGGAGAAAGAAGCACGTTGCTCGTGAGGAGTCAAATTTTCATGGAGATCTTTTGACGGGGGAGTTGTGCCTTTAAGTTAAAGCGACGTAGTAGCATTTGAAATGCAAAAGGTGGGAAGGTCTTGGGAATGAAGTTGGGCTAATATAAAAAAGTGAAAGTTTGCAGAAAGGTTGTGACGAATTACGGCTGATGCACAAGTCTGCAAGCTTGGGGGTTAATCTTGTTGATTGCAGTGGGTTTTGAATCATCAGCTCTGTCATTTCTTTTTTTCTTCCTTTTCTTTTTTTTTCATGCTACCTCCCCGTTTTTCTCATTCCTTGCCTTTGCATCTCCCAGGGCGCTGCTCCCAGGCAGCTCTGGTGGTATCCGGGTAAAGTAGGGTGTAAAACCATGTGCCAAGGCATTTGTCCCTTGCGTGAACGGCAGCACTCGTATGCCACCCTTGACAATCAGTAGTCAAAAAAAGGCTGGTGAATCACAGGAGCTTTTCCCCGCTCTCCAGTTTGCTCTTTGCATGCAGCCACTGGTTTTCAGACAAAGTGCTGGCTGTTTCTTGCTGACCCTCTTCTCATTCCCCACTCGAGGGTGCTGGCTTGCAAAGGCTGGGGTTTGGTGGTGAGGGGTAGCCCAGGGATGGTGAATGGGCTGGAGGATGCACTTGTGCTGCCATTGTTCCACCAACCCAGCCTCCAGCCTTGCTTTAGTGACAAAAAATGGTTACCAATTGGATTAGAATAGCTAACTTCAATTATTTTGGTGTTTCACTGACGTGATCTCTTTTTTATACCCTATGAATCAATAGGTCCATAACAAAATGCCCATTAACGGCACATTTCTTATCTGGGTATAAACTAGAAGAAAATAAATGCTGAAAAACATGCTAAAAATGAAATTAAAAAAGACGAGCACTGAATCTTGCTTAAAGACCACACAATCATTACAGAGGCAGAGATTCCACCGAGGGTTGCGTCAGGAATGCAAATGTGGTCCTCGAGCTTACTTAAAAACAACATCAAAGCCATAATCAATGTGTGCTGGCTTTTGTTCTATGCACTAGGTGTTCAGTAACGACGGCATCACGTGAGCCTTGGCTATAGCAGAGATTGTCCAGCTCGGTGATTTTAGCTGGAATCGCCTTAAGTAAAAAACAATAGTTTATCTAAGCTTGTGGTAATTGCATGAAAATGAAACTTGGTCTATTTCTGGTGAAGGAAGAAACAAAACTTACAGACACTATACAGCATCACTACGTAGCTCATATTTGGATACAGATCTATGCGGTTCACCTGGGTGCTAGAAATTATCAGCCTGGCTTCCTAGGGAGAAATCTCCCCGTGGAGCACCAAGGGTATCAGCACTCAGAAAGGCAGATGCTAACTTGGCTCCGTATAAAAGGTTTCCAAAATATCCTTGCTTTGCCTGGATTGTTTCCTTCTGCACTCTGGGTTTTCATGGATTCCCAGGGAAGCACAAAAGGCAGGTTGCTTTAGGGATTTTAGCTTCCCCAGACCCATCCCTAAATACCTTGGTTCATGCAGTGATCTGATTCCAGGCAAATTAAACACACGTTCAGAAGCAGTGCTTCACCTGCATGTAGTTTAATCAGATGTAAGACCAGAATGAGTTATATGAATTTCAACTTTGGATATGAGAAGGAAAAAGAGAGGTAATGAGTGAATATTCCAAAAAATAACCAAAAGCAAATCCGTGGAACTGCCATCCAACCCAGCGCACCGCGCTGCTGGTCCTTGGTGTAGGTAAGGGGAAAGGAAAGAATTGATCCAGCATAGCGAGGAGACCCACAAACTCAGAGAGGAGAATGGCTCCAGGGCCAGCTCTGTGAGAAGAGGCAGGGAAATATTAGAATGTAAAGAGTTAAGCTATGGTAAAACATACTTTTGCTACACTAAAGAAGACTGGTTGATAATTACTGTAGTTTTAGGGCTATTTGAATCAGTGCAGCTGCAACCTCTTCAGTAGTAACCCCTGAAACAAGACAAACTGGGTTTATTGTACTGAACAAGTCTTAAAGCTCCTCCCTGATTGTTAGTAATTGGCAGCAATGGACTTAACAGCCTCTTGACTACCCTTTTTACACTCTACCTGACTGTGCAGCTAACAATTTAAATCACAGATGCCGATCCTTCTTTGTGGCAGCTGCTTGTTAACTACACGTTCCTCTTTTTCTGTCACTGGCTGCTTCCATAACCCTGCAACACCAGGGTTAGATTGGAGAATCACATTTCATCAATATTTAAAATGGAATTAAACCTTGAAGTTTGATTAATGCTACCAGATAGTGAGTTGTAATTACTATTTTGCAAATTGCAATTGTTTGAATATGTTAATATGATTGTCTAAGCACATCTTCACCTTCAGAAGTAATTTTCTCTTTAAAAAAGATTTGGAAAAAAAAATACAAACTCTTTAATCAGTGGTAAATTATCACCCTGTGCACAATTAGGTAGCACGGGCTTCTTCATGTTGTGTGCTGAATTTTGTCTGAGCATATTTATCTTTAAAAGTTTATCCATTTTTTCAGATTTTCCTCAGTAGAATATATATTCATGGAACAGACTTTGCTGAAACAGGACTAACCATGTTGATATTTGAAGGTAAAGGACAAAAGCTGTCTGAACATTTTATTGCAATCTGGCGTACCCTGTTCAGTTAGTAAATTATAACAAGTTATTATTTTCAGAGTTAGTGAAATGTAACAATTATTATAGTGAAATATAATTTAAATCTTGAAACAGAGAGCAAGATAACTTAATGGATAAGCTGTTAGAATATATGTAAGTATTGACTGATTATTTTGAATTATTTCCTTATGTCTCAATCAAAAATAGGATCAGACTTCTAGCGCCCACAAAATATATTTTGAATATTGTGGGCCAGATCCTCAGCCAGCCCAAACTGGGATAGCTTCTGCTTCATTTTTGTAATTAATTCAGGCTGTCCTTATTAAGCAGGCAGAGGCACACTGAGCCAACTCTGGTAGCCACTTGCTAGACTGATGCCCAGAAACAGCATCTGCCCACGGCAGATGATTAACCAGGGGTGCAAGGTCTGCTGATCTACTGTTGGACACTGGCTACACAGTCAACGGGTCAGTTGGGATAGAGTCTTTTTAGGCAGATAAGACCCAAGTAAATCTGTTGGTCATACTGTGTTCAATTTGCCCTCTTAACCAATGACTTCCTAGGAAACCACCTAGAGATGTGCAGGAAAATGTACTGCACTGAAATTAGAATAATTTCTAAGCAGTGGCTTAACCAGGGGAAAAAAGCTACATTGTTCACCTTAAAAACCCTGTCTGACTCTATGTTAGGTCTTCACACGGCACTTTGGAGCTGTATGTGTTCCTGGTGTCTTAAAGGCTTTGCCTACACTGGAGGCCTGATGGACTCCAAAATCCTGATCCTTGGCTCCCTCCTCTGCCCAAAGGCGAGTTGGGAGCAGCTGTGAGCGGGCACCATCCCTTCCTTCACTCTCTCTTCTGTTAAAGGATACATGAGCAGAGGGGGAGGTAGATGTGCCCTGATGTGTCCCTCCATCAGCAGCCCACAGCCCCAGCACGACCCGAGGCCACAGCTATGTGGGAAGAGCAGCTTTTCACGGCCAGGGTTTGTGTTTACAACAGACAATCCTTGAACAAGAGCTAAGCTTCCTCTCTGTTTGCAGAGGACCAGGCACAGGCAGACCATTGTAAACGGCAGTACCATTTAATTCCTTCACGTGCCTGGCTCCTCCCCTCGACCGCGCTGCTGTTTATCGTGTTCTTCCACTGCACAATTACAATCACATGCGATAGCATCTCGGCTGTGGGTTCTGCCTGGCACACCCCTTCCATTTCCACTGCCCCTCTGAGTCCCCAACACCACCTTCCTTACTGCACCTGACCCCACCAACATCAAGGCTGGCAAGAAAAGGGAAAATATGTTTTCAATTAACCTTTGCTTCCACCCACAAATTCTCACCCTTCCATTTACTTTTAATTACTGTAATTCCAAAATGGCCCCCGAATGAACTTTCCATCTCTTGTAAAACTTGTTTTCACATGAGCTGTATAGTGGAATATAAGTGACTATAAGACTTGTGCATAACCTATTAAATGGATTCACAATAGGATGGCTAGCAGACAAACACAGTTGTTATTCTTGGCGTGCCACTATTTCGAACTGAAACTTTCACAGTTCTCAAAACGTTAAGTATCTTAAGTCCAGGAAACCACAAGGAACAATATATCTGCAAAAGCTATAGCTACTGAAATTATTGTAGTAACTTACATCATTATGCATATATTAATATTATCATTGCTGGCTATAACCTTGAAGATAAATCATATTGTTTCGTAATCTGTTTCAATGAATGGAAGATACTTGATATTAAAACATGTAAGACAAATTGAATCTAAAAATATTTTCTTGGATACGTGGATGAGAAGTCTCCCACTATCTCTGTCACCTGAGCAGACTTTGGCACTGGGAAAGATGCAGGAAGTAAGCATTTTGCAATGGCATTCAAAATGTGCCTGATCTTAACACATTTCTATACGAAAAGATATGAAAAGAGCCTATGATGGGTAGGAAAATCGGTGAAATATTTTAAAAAGTGTTTAGGGTAGGGTAAGAATAGACAAGAAGCTACTTCTCGTAGGAGTCTGGGATCTTCTTTTTAAACTAAGTAGACTCAATTTCCTTTTGCCATCTTCACTTCAGTCCTCACTCATTTGCCTTTCCCAGTCAGCATCCCCAGTTTGATACTCGCTTGCGTTCTGCCTCTCCCCCTTCTAAGAGGGGAGAGAAAAAGTACCTGGGAGGTAGAGGAGATGAGACCAGAAGGTGAACTTGTGCGGACGTGTTTAGAGCTTTGTGGGCAAAGAAAACAAGCCGAGTGCCATGCAGAGAGAAAAATGTGTTTTGTGATAGTATATTGGAAGAAATGAATCAGAGAGGCCAGAAAGAGGAGTTAGCAGCAAAAAGGACAAGAACTTCAGCTGCTGCAAGAAAAGCAAAAAGCCACCCATATTTGTATGCTCCACTTTTGTAAACAGAGAGTAGTATTGGCTCTGTTTTACAAACCCATGTTTTCAGAAAGAAGTTTGTCAGCCAAAGTAACGAGAAAAAGATCAATGGATTGCAATAAATGGCATTTATCATGAAAATGAGTAAAATTTACAATTCAGTTAACTTGTTAAATGTTAAAAAATCTGCAAACAATAGACACAATTTGTTTTGTTCGGAGCCCAGAGGTAGAGACCAAATCCTCTAAATTAATTTCTGCAAAAGCTGGGGGTTTTTTTTCCAAACAGGTCTGAATCCCATTCGTTGTAGAATATACTGATTACCAACTCTTTTTAAGAGCTTTACACAAACATTATTTCTTTTGTTGTGTGAAATGCAGAATCAGCCATCTGGCAAATGCCCCAGAGCTAAAATCTTTTACATGACATATAATTCAAAATGATTAAATATACAACAGAAAAAATAGCTATAGCATTGCACTTAAAATAGCATGAACTTTTACTGCCGATCAAAACTGATTTCTTTAGCTTAACAAGTATCCAAAGAACAATTATTTGAAGAGCTTTTAAGAGTTTCAATATGTAGGAACTAAGCCTCATCTAAATTCAGTATCTTAAGTCAAATAAAAAAGAAACAAATGTACAAAAGATTAAATGGTCCTGCGTTATAAGTAGACATTTAAATCTATGGGAAGCTAAATTCATTTGAACAAAAATACTATATTCCCTCTCTCCGTGTATTGCTGGGGCTTTCCTCTCCATTGCTGAGGGCATCGGCCAAAACAACTCATACATTCTCAGGTGACGACTGGAGTCAGACCCTTCCTCCACTCCCTCCATCATCACAACGGGCAGTTTCAAAGAAGAACAGGGAATAAAGCTCCGTGCGCGATCCCTGAGTGCAGTCGATCTATTTTTCCTGCACCACGGTCGACTTTAAGTTAAACTTGCTGTCTTTTCTCCAGAAATACTCCAGACCTGAACAATTGCCAGGTCCTCATCCCACACCCAATCCTCCAGTAGTTTATGAGAAAGAGCACGCAAACATCTGCATGTGCTTGGGGTACTCGAGGGTAGGTACAGAAATATTACCCTGTGTCGTTATTTAGTGGTTACGGCTCTGTTTCTCAGCTACATTTTTCAGACAAGTCAAAGTCTACATTTCTCAAACAGCACTTGGTGCAAGTCAGAGCTGAGTTGTAAGACAAAAAAAGTCTAAATGGAGATTGATCTCGTGGATTTGCATAGCTGGATAAACCTGAAATGGACGAATACGTCGTTGCTGACTTTCCAAAATATTTTGCTTCTAAACTCTTTCAGACCAAGCATGAGACGCTTCGTCCCAGGGTAACAATGTGAGGAAACTGAGTCTGTGATTACTAAGGCTTAGAATTAAAACGGGTTTGCACCCTTGCCTGTGGAGTCAGGTCAGCTGCACAAGCAAGGAGCCGCCGATGTTCTAACCCCAGACTTTTCTAAACTGCTATAAAATAATGTTCTTGAATCTTGACCTTTTCAGTTCATAATGATTCCTGGAGCAGCAGGATTTATTCCTGCT